AAAGAGTGTTTTCTATGACTATGGAACAAAATATTGCTAGTTAGATGTTCAGATTTGAAACAAGTTATATCTGGGGGTAGCTGCAGTCACTACCATGCCCCTTTGGGAAGAGAGTTCTGGAAATGGAATAAGATTGGCAGAGCTCGGAATACTTATCTTGCTGCCCATCTTCTACGAGGTTCAAATTTTGGTGATTAATGATACATCCATGCTGAACAAGCAAATGCCAAGTACTGTCCAGGGGAAATGCCTTGATTCACAAAATGTCTTCACTAAAAACTTCAAGATAAATTGAGAGGCCTCTACAAACCAGTGGTACAAACAGTGAGTGGAAAGCAAAGACGGACCTTCATACATGTTTTTATGATGATATTTGTTCTGTGTCATTATTGAATTCAACTACTTCCTCTGAATATTTGAAAAACAAGATTACTGACCATGAAGAAATACCTTTTTTCATTAAATGCCATATTTCAGTTAGCATTTTGATAAAGATGACTTGGCATTTTGGCAACTGAATAAAGAAAAGGGGCCATGGCTAGCACTTGACCAAAAAAAAGAGTATCAAGTAAGTGACATTATTTTCCCTTTGTTCCTAATGGAGGTCAGAAAGCTGGCGTTTTAGCCTTAGCTGTAGGGGTGTACATCCTTTGTTCATACTCTCTTGAAGATCAAATGAAATAATACATGAAATAATAATTCTTTAAAATACTGCACCAATGCTTATGGAAGCTTTTTGACCTCACAAAGATAGAGGATTACTTTTATTCACATAGGCATTACAAAAGGAGTATGATTACTTCCTTAAAAGAGTTGAATAATTTTTCTAAATACATCTTTTTCTTGAAAGAGAATCTGAGTTGTATTTACCAAGTGAAATAGTCATCTGTTGTCCTTATTCTAGCCACTTGTCTAATTGTATTTTAAATGTACTAAACAATAATTTGGCAACAGATTATTCTAGCTGATGACAATCATGAGAAATATTCATAGGTACCACCAACATATATTCCTCAGGACAAATGTTTCAAACTTTGGGTTAATAACTATTTTTGGTTATGAAATAAATTTGGATCAAGATCAACACTTTTTAATGAAATGAAATTTAGCCAAGTAAAAAAAGAATGCGTCACACGCAGGAGAGACACACACATACATACCGTAATACACACACATGTGAGCACTGGTGGTGATGGGAAATGTAATTCTTCCATAGGTTTTGCTGAAAATGTTTGAAATATAGTACTCTAAAGAGGAAGAAGTGTTGGCTGCCTGCCTCAACCAAAATCTAGTCTTCTCATTTCAGGGTGATCCCTCAGTTTGTTTCATTTCATGGGGAATTTGTCCTGAGCACCAAGCACCAACCAAGGCTAACTCTCCCTACTTCATTCCCAACCCACAGGGAGGGGTGAATTGTGCAAAAAGTGCAAAAAAATTATTCCTTGAGAACTGGTCTAAAAAGTCATTAAGTCTAAAAAGTCTTCATGAAAATAAGCAATATAATTAGTAAAATCTGAATTCAGACTACTCAGCTATAAAGCCTCAATGGCAGTTATAAGGTAGAAACTTTTCTGTAAGATGGTTATGTACTGAACCTACAGCACTGCCTTTCATTACGTGGGTACTTCATAATGTTGTCAGACAGATACTTAAAACCGTACTTAAAAAAGGTTCTGGAGAATATCTCACCTGAGGAAATGGCTCTGCTGATGCGAGGAGCACATTTTCTGGCTTTAAATCACAGTGCACAATATTCTTAAAATGTAGATTCCTTAATGCAACAAGTATCTGTTATTGAAGAAAACAGATTTTTTTTCTATTTCTGGAAAAATCACAGCTAAACACTAACTGGACCCCTTGAGTGGTATAATAATTTAAAAAGTCCACTACAGTTCATCAAGATTTAACTAAAAGTGTTACTTTGTTCTTCAAAGTTAACAATTCCCACAATGTTACAATATGTAAAAGCACTACCATTTCTTGTAGTTTTTATTATTTTCTAGTTTCAAAAAAAGTTAAAATACCTGTGTGACCATGAATTTAGTTATTCGTTCTGGAAGTCGACTTTTCTCACTGGACAGAATCATTTCCAACATATCTCCATGCAGCTTTTCCATTACTACAAAAACTCGTTCTGGGGTTTCAAACATACATTCCAGGTTTACAATCCCAGGATGGTGCAAATTCTGAAGAGTTGCAGGATATTTATGTGACCAACTTGAGTAAAAGTTTGTGCAAATATTAATATCTAACAATGTGCTGCAATTAATTGTATGGAATAACAGCCCAGAAAGCAAAAAATAGCTTACAAAAATAAATAAAAGCAAACAAAATTAAAAGGATCATAGATTTTGATTTTCCAAGTTCTGTACTGGAGAGTGGATGCACCGAAGGGAAAGAATATCTTCCCAGTTTTCCCAATATAAATGCCCTTGTCCATTACTACTACTTTTCCTTCCTTCTCATCTTTTTAATCTTCTGATAGTACTCTAATTTTATGCTGTCCATGAATAGGCACCAACTGCCAATCAAAGTTTAGCCAATTACACAGAGCTTTGGGCTGTTTGTGAGGGTCTTAGCTCAAACTGGTGGTTTTGTCTTTAAGGTAGTTATTTATCTAAGTCTTGATCTCGTTGTATTATACCTTGATTTGGTCTTCCCTCTTTTAGGCTCAGCATCTCTTTACTACCATCACCCCTTTTTCTTAAGCACTACTAGGTTAACAAGGTTGGAGAAATACAAAGCTGAATGTGATACTGTATCTGCTAATAAAAAAGCAATCTATCTTAACTGATACTAAAAAAAGAAACAAAACTTCTTCAAAAGCAATTTGAGAAGCCAGCCATACACAAAAAACATTCAATGGTCCTTTCTTTCTGGACATAAATCTGAATTCCTCTGTTTGGATTTTAATATCTTCAGTAGTCTGGTTTCATTCTTCTTATTCCGTCTTAAATACTGGCCCAAGTGATTAAACGTTTTAATACTTATTAACAGAAATATATTTTTCTTATGCTTTTTTTTCCTTACTATGGGTATCTAAGTATGCCAAGAGGGCAAACTTTTTTTCGGACTATGTGAAGTTGGGCTCCATCTCTAAAATGTGTTTTGAATACACCATCATTTCTCAATTCCCACTGTAATGCCTCCAGTTTAGCTCACATTACCTCTCTTCCAGACTACTGCAGTAGTTGCCACTGCACTCTGTGCAGCACTGCTTATCCCATGGTACTGTATTACATGTATATGTGTCTTACTGTGTAGCCTAGTAAGTTCTCTGAGAGCAGAGACTGTGTCTTACTCACTTTTAGCTCAACTTCTGAATCATGGTTGGTGTTTTAAAAATGTTTATAAAGCGAAGAGCAAATGCAAGATAAATACTGTTTACTAATCAGCTTAAAACAAGTTAATGACATAGTGTCCCAGGCAGCAAAATAAAAAGTAACACAATCTTATAGTAGATACATGAAAGTGAAATACCCCACAGTGGTGGGGCATGATAATGGCAGTAAGCAGAAGATTCAGAACATCATAACTTTGATTTAGAGCTGGAAGTGTGGTTGGCTGTCCCCTATGTTGCAGTTGACTACTTCTTAAGTTTCTTTTTCCCCCCCACCATCCTTGGAAACACATGCATGCACACACAAAAACAGATGTATGCTGTAACATAAATTCTTTTAACCACTTCTTCTATTTGTTTAAATGTCCTATTTCCTCTCGAGTCTGTTTTGGTAAATTATACTTTCATAGAGAATCATCTTCTCCAGGTTTTCAAGTTTATCTAACAGAGTTGCACAAGATAGTAGTATCTTAAGATTCCCTAAAATTTTTTCAGTTATTTGTGATCGTCTCTCCAAAATGTTGTTATATCTTCTTATATTTTGATTCGGTTGGACACTTACTTTATTGTTATCCACTCCCCCCCCCCCGCCCAATAATCAACTTTTGGATTTATTATACTAAATTTATTAATTTACTTTTTTATCTTTGTTAATTCCTTCTGTTTTCCTCAGGTTGACTGTTCATCCTTCAACTTCTTGAGTTAGACTCTTAATTTATTTTTGTTCATTTTTTCTTGATTAAATATTTGAGGTTACCAAGATTTCTGTGAGCAATAGTCCAAAAGCTCTGATATACAGTATTTCCACAATTATTTTCTAAATACTCCAATCTTGATTTTGCTCTCTGATTCAAGAATTAAGACTCAAAAAAAATTTTTTTTCAGGTGGTGGGAGTTTTTGTTTTCTGATTTTATAATTTATTTCTAGCTTTAGTGCATTAAGACCAAAAAGTACTGTTTATTCTACTTTTAATTAATAGGGTACTTGTTTTTAGGGTACAGTGTTCAACATAAACTGGTTAGATCTACCTTATACAGTTTAGGCCTCCTGTGTTCTTACTTAGCTTTGTCTATTTCATCTGTCATGGACTACTAATGTGCTTGTCTGTTCCTCCCTGTATGGTCTCTAGTTTTCCTTTATAGATGATGTTGATGCCATTTGGTTTAGTGTGATTTCCACTCTTCCACTGTTAGAGTGCCCTACTTCAATTCACTTCATGTGTTTTCTCTTGAATTAAATCTTATTAGATCATGACTCCCTTGGCTTTCTTCTATTTGAGAGGAACTAGAGAGAGGCTGTCACAACTGTAGAGCTCAGAAAGAGCCAGCAAAACCAGTTTTTATTGTGGTGCCTCTTCCTACATTTGCCTGGTCCATTTCCACTGTTTTTGGAAAAACTTCCACCTATTTTGTAGGGCTGAACTCTTTTCTATTTTTGTTAAAGACAGAGTATGCTTTTCTGTTTATCATTTTTCTTGTAGCTTTTGGGTGATTTCCAAGAAGAGAAGGGGAAAATACTGAATTTATACAACAACGGTCAAATTAGAAATTTTGCTCTTAAGTTTCTGAGAACGTTTTCCCCTTTACACAGGGAGCCACGAGAGCGCCTCACCTTTTCTCCCACTACTCTACTACCCTCTTCAGGCAAGAGCAAAAGGACACTTGACATTACTATAGCCCTGTGAAATGAAAGTGAAAAATCCCACAGGCGACAATTATTTAATTCTGAAATATTTTCATTCTGAAAATAACCAGAGGGCTATAATAATAAAGTGTTTACATTGTGTATTATCTGGAAATTCCTATATTTAGTTATTAAGATTTGCAGTTGATAATGTGGGAAAAAAGCTTCAGTGCTTGGTACAGAGCTGTGTTTGTGATGTGATCAAAGTAACAAGGAGAACTTTTACGTGGAATCTAAAATACGACACAAATGAACATATCTACGAAATAGAAATAGACTCACAGACATAGAGAACAGACTTGTGGTTGCCAAGGTGGAGGGCGGGTGGGGGAAGGATGGATTGGGAGCTTGGGATTAGCAGATGCAAACTAATATATATATGATGGATAAAAAACAAGGTCCTATTGTATAGCATAGGGAACTATATTCAATATCCTGTGATAAACCATAATGGAAAAGAATATAAAGAATATATATAACTGAGTCACTTTGCTGTAGAGCAGAAATTAACACAACATTGTAAATCAACTATACGTCAATAAAAATTTTTTAAAATGACAAGGAAAAATCAATCCTTATGAATAAATTCTTAATATTTATTTTTTTGCATAATGATTGGATATTGAGAAACAGTCCAAAATTAGATATGAAAAAAGATCTCTAACAGTATATTCAAACCCTAACGCAGAGTCTGAATGCTGTTAATATCCTATTTCAAAGGTAGCTTTATAGGAGGAGGCAGCCTTGAAGTGACCACAGGTAGCTTGTAGACCACAATCTTTTGATTATCACTCCTCTGAAAAAAAGTGAGGCAAATGTTACTAACAGTGACCAATAACGTAATAAATGTAAAATTAATTACATGTTTATAAGTTTCTTACCTTCTTCTCCAAAGAAGCACAAGTTCAATAGGCTGTGTCTTCTTGAACTTCACCCACAAGCAAATGGGGCTCTGACAGCATTAACTATTATATCACCATGATTTCTTAAATACTATGCAAAAGCTACACAATGAATTAATAAATATTTGCATATTATAAATTAATTATATGATATTCAGAAAAATAAAGCTAAATTTTACACTTCTAGATTGACGTCCAAAAGAGATAAAAATGCTAAAATAAAAACACACAGTAATTTATTTTATGGGATTTAAGTCATTGCCAATATATCTTTAAAAATATACCTTAATGGACTAAACTATTATAATGAAACATGGTGGTAGAAGTATCAAAGTATTTTGAGCTCATGGAGTGATGAATTAAGAATGAAATTTGAGTTTTTTTAGTTTAAGATTTTCCTTAGGAAAATGTGTTCTAAACAAACTACTACCATAATGGCAGTCCTTGTAACTCGTAGATTATTGTAACCTAATTTTGCCTTTTCAAAAAAAAAAAACTTAGGGAGTTAATTCAGATGCTCACCAGCCTCTCACTGAGCCAAAAGGTCATAAAATGAGAACGAAGAAAAATGAGAACAAAGAAAACAAAAACCAAAATCTTATCAGCACACTAAATAGACTTGGATTTAAAAACTCATAAATCAAAAATTAAAACAAATACAAAGCAACTGTTTTTGGGTTTTTTTACCTGTAAAATAGCCACTTCATTACGGAGCTGACTCTCCTGTTTTGTGGGGAATCTCATCTTATCAATTACTTTAATAGCCACATCCCTTCCAGTCTTTCTGTGTTTTCCTATTTTTAAAAAAAGTACAGAAAAGAAAGAAGACACAAATTGACATCCCACATACAATACAAAAGCTTTATCAGGAAGTTATCCACAAACTGAAATTGATATGTATGTATTTTTGTATTTCTTTTTTTCAGCTCATTTTGTTCTTTCTCCATCACTATCTTTAATTTTAAGAAATAAATTATATTTTCCCTTATAGTAATTGCCCCTAATAAAGGCTGTTTCATTATTTGAAACAGCAGGAAATTTGAAATGAACCTGTTTGCTGAAAAATAATCCACTTTATTAAAGAAATGATAGTTAACTATGTGACTTAGTCTTTAGAAATTCTGTCAAGATAGAAACATTGTACCAATTAATTTTATTCTAGGTTCACTGGATCAGCACAGAGTGACTTAACTATACAGCCTTCAGGCAGAAAGGCCAACTAGTCTCAGTAAGGAATGAAAGGGTTTAACATTCCTTTTATACCTTGTTTCATAGCTTATAAAGTACTTTTACATATATTAGGTTTAATGAATATTAAAAATCCTGTGAACTATGCAGGTCAGGTTTTATTAGCTCCATTAAACTGATGAAGATACTGAGGCACAGTGAGGTTAAATGACTTTGCCAATGGAAGTCACAGCTGGATAAGATTCCATGTCTTCAGACCTGATACCATTCATGCCAATAGTAGACAAATGGTGCCATTTGTGTGGGAAAACCAGTGGGGCATATACTTCAATAAACAAACTTTCATAGTCCAACACAAACTTCAAACCATTTATTTTTCCCAAACATCTTTATGTGTAAGCTACAAGAAAAGATAAAGACTACTGTGAATTTTCTTATTCTTTCTGTTACTTTTTAAAGTTCTTAGTTTAAATTAAGGAATTAATACTCAGTTATAGTGAAAAGGGCTTAGCTAAATGTATGTAGGTTAACCTTTGAGAAAAACACCACTTGACGAAACTGACAAGATGTTAACAGCTGGCAGATGTTTTTAAATTTCATAATTCTTCTATGTTATCTACAATATGCAAAAGGCTGTAGTTGCTTACCTCCATAGACGATACCAAATTGGCCTGAACCAAGCACCTCATCTGCAAAGATCTGATAAACGGTACTGATGTCCTATTTAGGAAAAAGTAAGCAGTGTTATTACCTCTATGAAATAATGTCAACATCTCTGACTCTTTTCATTCAAATACTTAAATACATTTTAGTTTTTATGATTGACGGAACTAATTTTCACAAAATATTTTATGAAATATAGGCTTTCTATGTCCTAAAAAAGCCCAACTTTAATACTATGACTCTTAATGTACAACTATAATGTATTCTGTAAGAAGACCCCTGGGAAAAAAATGCTTTGAATTAAAAAATATATTTATTGGGCTTCCCTGGTGGCGCAGTGGTTGAGAATCCACCTGCCAATGCAGGGGACACAGGTTCAAGCCCTGGACTGGGAAGATCTCACATGCCGCGGAGCAGCTAAGCCCGTGAGCCACAACTACTGAGCCTGCGCTCTAGAGCCTGCAAGCCACAACTACTAGCCCACAAGCCACAACTACTGAAGCCCGTGTGCCTAGAGCCTGTGCTCTGCAACAAGAGAAGCCACCGCAACGAGAAGCCCACGCACCGCAACGAAGAGTAGTCCCTGCTCGCCGCAACTAGAGAAAGCGGCACACAGCAATGAAGAACCAAAGCAGCCAAAAAAAATAATATATATATATTTATTAAGTAGTGATCTATAAAAAGTAAATTAACATAAAAATTAACGAAGTTTTACCTACTTTACCATGAAAGAGATTTGCTATCTTTGATTTGAAAGAAAAACTCAAAGGTTCATACTATTGAGATCAGACTAATTTTTAAAGACTGATGAAAAGAGTATGTGTAGCTCAAATCCACTCCTCTATCTCCTCCCTTCCGCCCCTCCCTTTCGTCTTCCTTTTTCTCCGCTAGTGGTTGTCGCTGTCAGAGAGCTCCTGGAAGGCGCTCAGCAACGCTCCCCACAGGTCTTCAGTCAAGGTCTGTCTTTTGTTTGGGTATGTGCTACAGTCTCCATGAAGCCAGGGACTACACCTGTCTCGTTCGGTGTTACATTCCCAGACAGTGCGGGTCTCACTGCAGTCACGTGACTGGATAAACCAAGTCTCCTAGGCCTCATTCCTCATTGGTAAAGTGGATATAATAACATCTATCTCACTGGATTTTTAAGTGAATTAAATGAGAATATATACAAAGTGTCAAATCCAGTGCCTGGCATATAAAAATCAGTAATTCCGGGCTTCCATGGTGGCACAGTGGTTGAGAGTCCACCTGCCGATGCAGGGGACACGGGTTCGTGCCCCGGTCCGGGAAGATCCCATAGGCCGCGGAGCGGCTGGGCCCGTGAGCCATGGCCACTGAGCCTGCGCGTCCGGAGCCTGTGCTCCACAATGGGAGAGGCCACAGCAGTGAGAGGCCCGTGTACCGCAAAAAAAAAATAAAAGTAATTCCACAAATCTTAACTTCTGTTTAAATTAGGTAATCGTAAGTAAGCTGAATTCTCTGGGACTGGTCTTCTTATCTGTAAAAATGAAATGAGAAAACGTCTTTCTCTCCACAATAATCTGGTACCTATTCTACCTACCCCTAGGACAAGAGACACACAGATTAAATCTCACTGAAACCCTCTATCTCCCATAGCACTACTGGATATCAGTCTTCACTGCAATCTTAGAAAATCCAACAACATTTACATGTTATAGAACAATAACAGCTGGATACCCCAGTTAATAAGAGATTTTATCAGAGAAATTTATATATAGCTAATGAACAATTTTCTGACTTCTTTTTCTAGCTAATCCAGGGGTTGGCATACTATGGCTTGTGGGCCAAATCCAGCCTGCTGCCTCTTTTTGTACAGCCCCTGAACTAAGAACAGTTTTAATTTTTAAATGGTTAAAAAACATCAAAATAATAATGTCTTGTGAAACATGAAATTATATGAAATTCAAATATATATGACCACAAATAAAGTTTTACTGGAAAACAGCCATGCTTATTCCTTTAAGTATTGCCTACGGCTTTCTCACGACAACGGCCAAGTTGAGTTCATAACTGTATATGGTCTGCAAGGCCTAAAATATTTACTTCTATCCCTTTATAGAAAGTATGCTGATCTGTACCGTAATCCCCCACATGTACCTACATACACCAGCTGAAGTGAGTCTTGACTCTTCCTTAAAGTCCTGCATTTCCTGCTTCTCTGTACTTGCATGAAATGTTCCCCCATCCATATCCTCTCAGCACTTGTGTCAAAACTCTTTTCCATCCTTTTAGGCATATTTCAAGTTGTACTTCCTTTGAGGAGCTTTCTCGGCTCTGACCCAGAAAGAAGTAGCCTCTCCCTTCTCTTTGAACTAGTCTATCACTCTGTGATATTCTAATGGCACTTACAAAAAGTTAACTTTATTTTCATAATTTAAAAGGAAACTGCCTCAGTTTCCTTCATAAAGCAGAACTCCTCAGGGAAGTTATCACCCACACAGCCTAGCCTAGTGTCTTTAGGCAAACTGCGTAACACTTTGGGCTATATTTTCCTAATAAGATTTTCACATTTTATTTTCCTTAATCACCCAATTTGCATATTTTAGCTGTAATGTTTACTCACCACATTCTCCTGGATCTGACAATTAGATACAGAGATACTGGTAGACAAATCTTCTGTAAAATATAAGAATGATGTATGGAAAAAAAAAACTGTTAGTCCATAACTTAGTAGTAATAGTTACTGACATGTGAATGCTCACAATATATTAAATTTTAAAAACTAACATACACTTAATATAATTACATTCATTAAAACAAAATTAAAAAAAAATTTATCCATATACAATACTAATCCATCAACAGGAAACTGGTTAAATAAAATGATACGTTCATACAAAAGAATACTATCTAAACATTTAAGGACGTAGGGCTATAAGAACTGAGTCAGAAAGCTATTTATGACATTATTAAGTTAAAAAGTGTAGTGGCATTTGAATCGAAAACAAAATATTACTTCTGGTGAGTGAGAGAGGTGGGGTTGAGGGACAAAGATTTAATCTTTATACACTTTTAGACTGCTTGCATTTTAAAAAATGCATAAAAAGTATTACTGTCATAATAAAAAATAAAAATTATATATATCTATATACTGACATTGAAATATATCTGATATAAAATAGTTGAAACCAAGTTGTAAGAAGATCACACATCTTTTATGACAAAAATATATAATACATTTTTGTGTGAAAATAAAATTATAACAATGTAGTATAGACTCCCCTCCCCACAAGCCATCCCCAAATCAAGACATATACACCAAACTATTAATAATGGTTTTCTGAGGGGGGAGATACATGATTGGGAATAGGGGGATGTGTCACATGTGTATAGGGAGGAATTTCTCATATTACATATTTCTCTAAAGTTTAAATGTCTGTTATTACTTTGGTAAACAAAGGAAGAAACTGACAAGAAAAAGGAAAAAGGGAAATTTGGAAAGTAAGCAAGAGACTAGTCAAAAATCTAGAATCTCAGTGACAACTCAAAGATATGAAATTTCCTTCATAATCCCAAATATAAAAATGCAAAACTTCATTAATAAGGAAATATAAGCAACTATACATCAAAAATAAGTAAGATGACTGTGGAAAAACTGCATTTTAAAATATTAGGCCAATTTTAAAATATTTTTAAAAATCCAAAAATTAAATATTAATGAAACAGACATAAAAGGCACAGCATCAACTAAATTAATGAGCCTAAAACTCTGCTTTTCAGTAGTTCCAGTTTCCTAGTTTAAGTCAATATTTTATTTTCTTTCGAAGGCCTCCACTGTCTAACTTCACCCAGTTTTAATTTCTGTTGCTTCCCAGGAGAACTCTACTCCAGACACGTTGTTACAAGGACAGTGGCAGCAGCAACACAGTAATAGTTTCACTAATGGGTCAGGAATGATGCGAAGTGCATCATATGCATTTATTATCATTTCCCTTTCAGATTAGAGAACAGAAGAGGCCAAGAACATGAAGCTAGTAAAGCAGCAGAACTGGGCTTTCATCCTCCAGAGTTCTCACTCTTAGCCCTTCTGCAACCTGTTTTTAGGGACTCTTAACCCTAGGGAAGAGGTCCATGGATGGGCTTGAGAAGGTCCCTAAATCCATTTATATATAAAATTTGTGTGTTATGTGCCCGCATTATTTTCTGGGGGAAAAGGTCCATGGTTTTAATTAGAATATCAGACAGTTCTGTCTAAAATCTCCTCAAATTTAAGAAGCACTGTGAATATCCATTTATTCAATCTTTAGGAATCAATATTCAACACCAAACATTTTCATGGTCATTACCCTCATCCCTTTGATCACACTTGTCTCCTCAACACCAGTGACACCCCCTCCACCCCTCCCAGGTTAGCTCTGCCTATCCTAACTTACTTGAGATCCAAGGTCAAGGTTCAAATCAGGCTCCGCTATCATGAAGTCTCTGCTTACTCTTCCTATCCATATCTGAGTTCCTCGAGAAATGCACTACTCATTTTTGCACTCTACTGCTTTATGCTACCATCTAACACTTATATACGTTATGTCCTATTTCCCTTAGTAGCTTTAAAATTTTCTGTGTTTCTTTCGTATTCTAGCTCAGGGCCTAGCATAATGCCGAGAACAGGTATACCAAGTAGCATAGCTGAACTGAAATAAAGAACATTTAGAAACTGGTTGAGGGAACTCCCTGGAGGTCCAGTGGTTAAGACTCAGCACTTTCACTGCCGGAGCCTGGGTTCAATCCCTGGTCGGGGAACTAAGATCCCGCCAGCTGTGCAGCGTGGCCAAAAAAGAAGAAAAAAAGAAAATGGTTGATACCTCTTTCAATTTAAATATTATTTGTCTAATGAATGAATGATGTTTCCCCATAAATGAAATAATGCCAATGGAGGGGAAAGTAACATTTTACTATGGCTTTCTGATTAAGTGTTCACTTGAACCTTTATCAAATTTAGGTTTTACTTTATAAATTTTGTCAGTGCAAAGGACATGTGTTTCAATATTTTTTTAATGTTTCTGAATGTTTTAATTCAGTTAAAAGAAATACAGCATTTCTGACTTCACAGATTTCCTGAGTATGTGAACTGTAACACTTTATAGCCTGAAAATCCCACCATGAAGCAAAATACTAATACTAGTAGTTTACTCAAGACCTTATGGTTCTTTTTCACTTAATGCTGACAACCCTATAAAGTAGGTACTATTACAGAGAACGAAAGTACTTGCTAAGATCACATCACAGGTTGGCAGAACCAGAATTTAAGTGTAGTGACACTGACTCTGGAACCTAGCTCTGGGGATTGTATACATATACTACAACCAACATAATTTTATAAAGGAATTAACTAATGGTATTGGTTACTAAAAATAAAGCTTAAAATGAGCATTAAAAATAAATACAGAAACACAACTACACCCACAAAATGCATAAGAACCAAAGGGGGAAAAAAGCCATCAACAAGCTTATTGCTTACTGTGATCTTTCCCTTGCCCTGGAGAAGTACAAACACTTGCTTGAGGGGTAACAGGCATGAGAGCTTGGCGAATTGCCTTTTCCCAGCTCTGTGCTACGTCAAGTCCCAGTCCAGTGGCAGCAAGAACAGGATTGTGAGAGCTGTCCCCACTGTTCTCGCCAACAAAGTATACCATAGTATCAGTGATGATTTCAAAACAGTGTGGGTTGCTGCCTTGTGAAATGTTCGTGAAATCTTGTGGGGAAGATATGCGAAGAATCTCTGAAAGTGGAATTTCCTGAAGCAAAAATTAAGCATTATAAAATATGAATACATCTTTTTTTAATTTTCAAATACACTAAACAATCAAAGATATGTGTTTCTAATGAATACCATTAAGACAAACACAAGTACGTGACACATGGAACATACAGTCAAGTCTTAATGATGGTATCTGCTTTGAATGATCTGCATGTCCATCAATGCCAGAGGCAGAGCATGGGGTGTAATAATCAAGCTAGTGATTCTGGCCTGTAGCAGATCATTAGAATGAAAGGAAGGAAAGGATTTAGGAGGGCAATTGCCACTACACTTGTCATTTCCCAGTTTTCATTGAATCAACTCAACAGCTACTACTCTACTGGCTATCTACAAGATACAGCCCCAAAGGAGTACGAAACAGAAATAACAGCAGCAAAAAAAGAATGTCAGTGTTAAGTTATTCAAGCACTCCATTCTGGTTCTGTCCATAACTGTAACAATCATTTATGTTTAGTCCCCTTCCTAAAGCAAAAAACTTATTTAACAAAACCCAACCAGCTCAAAGCAATTCATTAGTTTCTATACTTTTTCTTACTGATACAACTGCTACACTGACAATTTTGTTTGGCATCAGTCTGTGACACGGCAAAATGTGAAGCAACTCAAGCAAAGAGGACTATACAAAGGAAAAGAAGAGCCAAAAGAAGGATCTAAGAACTGCAGTCTAAGGTAAAATGGAAGATGGGAGAAATGCCGAATACCACATTTGCCTCTACTGGACCAGCAATGATCATGGGACTTTCTTAACAGTCTAATCTAAATCATAGTATAGTCATCCCTCAGTATGCAAGGGGGATTGGTGCCAGGACTGCCTGTGGATACCAAAATCCACAGATGCTCAAGTCCACTGTATAAAATGGTTAGGCATCCACAGATATGGAGGACCATTTGGCACCCAGAAGATAAGCAGCAGCAACCTGACAGGACAAAAACAAACACGCAACAAAAACAACCTTTGGTAGCAGGGCTGTTATGGGGAGTGAAATGGAAGAGTAGAGGACAGTTGCTTCAACAAGGAACTTAACAGTGACTTCTATAAACTACATTAGGCACAGCTGTAATAGGTATAAGCCAATATAACAATTAATCAATATTATTTGGATATATTTGGAAAACATACAGTATTTTAATGTACATATTTTTTTTAAGATGTGAAATCTTTACCTTATAATACTTTGATCCCGATTCGTTTTGAAACAATGTTAGACATTTGCTGTCCAGTCTCCAATAATGCCTCTTTCTCTATAAAGAGCATAAAACTGTGAGGTTCAAAAGTAATGATTCCTCCAAAGTGCCTGAACTTTCCTTTCCTTTTCATTTCTATCCATAAGTTTGTAGTTTTGAATAGGTTTAAAATTCGTGAGGTTCAAAATTCGGAGAATTAAAAGGATATATAGTGAAAAGTATACTTCCATCATCACTCCTATCTCACTCCCACCCTTACTCCAGGCAAGCAATGTTATTAGGTTTTGGGGATTCCTTTGCAAGAATCTTATGCATGCATACACAAATACATATGTATTGCACACACACAGATATGTAATTTACCTATAGGCTAAATTTCTAAAGGTTGGCTTACTGGGTAAAGAGATACATGCACATGTCATTTTACTTGACAGTGTTAAATTATCTGGCACAAGATTTGATCGAATTTACAGTCTCATCAGCAACATGCCTAACTTGCTCAAACCTTCACTAATGCAGCATGTTACTAGACCTTTTGATCTTTTGCTACACTGATAAATAAAAATTGGTATTTTGGTAAAATTTTAAAAATTGTATTTTTTATTAAAAATGAGATCAAGATCTTACATTTAAAAGTCATTTGTATTTCCTTGTCTGTGAATGTTCATATTCATCGCCCATTTTTCTATTGTATTCTGGTCTTTTTTTCCACTTGTTTAGAATATGAGGTGAAAATACTTTTTCCAGTTTGTCATTTGTCTTTGCTTTTGTTCTTTGCCATGCAGAATTTTTTTTTACGTGTGTCTTTAAATTATTTTTTAAAATTAATACTTTACTTTTTTGGAGCAGTTTAAGGTTCACAGCAAATTAAGGGGAAGATACAGAGATTTCCGATATACTCCCTTGTCCCCACGCATGTGTAACCATCCCCATCATGAACACCCCTCATCAGAGTGGCACATTTGTTACAACTGATAAACCTACACTGACACATCATAATCACAAAAGTCCAGTTTATATTATGGTTCACTCTTGGTATTGTACATTCTATGGGTTTGGACAAATGCATAATGACATGTATCTATCATCATGGTATTATATAGAGTATTCTCACTGCCCTAAAAATTCTGTGTTATGCCTATTCATACTTACAAGTCTCCACCCCTAACTGTGATCTTTTTACTGCCTCCATAGTTTTGCCTTTTCTAGAATGAATATCATATGGCTGGAATCATACAGTATGTAATCTTTTTACATTGGCTTCTTTCACTTAGTAATATACATTAAAGATTCCTCCATGTCTTTTCATGGCTTGAAAGCTCATTCATTGCTTTTTAGTGCTGAATAATATTCCATTGTCTGGATGTACCACAATTTATTTATCCACTTACCTACTGAAGGACATTTATTACTTCCAGGTTTTTGGCAATTATTAATAAAGCTACTATAAATATCCATATGCAGGGGCTTCCCTGGTGGCGCAGTGCTTGAGAGTCCGCCTGCCGATGCGCGCGTCCGGAGCCTGTGCTCCGCAAATGGGAGAGGCCACAACAGTGAGAGGCCCGCATAACGCAAAGAAAAAAAAAAAAAAAAAAAAAAAATATCCATATGCAGGTTTCTGTATGAACATAAGTTTTTATCTCCTTTGGGTAAAGAGCAAAGAGTACAACATATGGATCACATGGTAAAAGCATTTTAGTTTTGTAAGAAACTGCCAAACTGTCTTCAAAAGTTGGCAATACCGTTTTGTGTTCCTACTAGCCGTCAAAGAAAGTTCCCGATGCTCTAATCTTGTCAGAATTTAGTGTTCTCAGTGTTTAGGTTTTTGGCTATTCTAACAGGTGTGTAGTATGTCACTGTTTTAATTGGCATTTAATTTGCCTGATGACATATGATGTGGGGCATCTTTTCATATTCTTATTTGCCATCTAAGTATCTTCTTTGGTGAGGTACGTGTTAAGGTCTTCGGCACACTTTTTAATCAGGTTATCTGTTTTCTTACTGTTGAATTTTAAGAGTTTTTTGTATATTTTGGAGAACAGTCTTTTATCAGATGTCTCTTTTGCAAATATTTTCTCCAAGTCTGTGGCTTGTCTTCTCAATCTTTTAACATTGTTTTTTCCAAGCAGAAGTTTTTAACTGTAATGCATCCAGTGTTATCAATTATTTTTTTCATAGATTGTGCATTTGGTGTTATACCACCAGACCCGCTTTGAATCTCTACTGCTCTACCAGTTTATAAAAATAGTACATTAAATATTCCACCTTTGAAATATTCTTTACAAATGTAATGATCATTCCAGTACTGTGATGTCTTAATACATATCTCCTTCTCATTTTGATTTTAAAAATGCACAAAATAAAGCACATAACAAAGTTTCACTACCATAATAAAATGCCTGTGATTACTGACCAGGGTGTCCCTGCTGGTGTAATGGACCATCCACCCTTCCTTCACCATCGTGCTGCTCTTCCTCTTTGTGTGCTTGATGGATTGTACGACCCTCATTAGCGGAATATTATTGCTTGTTGATGGACTAAAAAATATTTTAAATTTATGACAAATATTTACAACTTCAACTTAAAAAATCATAAATACTGTAAGCTCATGAAGCCCTTTTAAAGATAATTAAGCTAAAATTCTTCAAAATATCTTAGGAAGACAAACAATGGCTTAAGAAGAAAATAAATTAATCCTGTTATGATGATACATAGTTAATTTATAAAAGACTAAGATAATACTGTAAGTCATCATTATTTGTCATCACATTTTTTTGGAGGGTCACAAAACATAAGAAAACAATGAGGGACTTCTCTGATGGCACAGTGGTTAAGAATCCGCCTGCCAATGCAGGGGACATAGGTTCGATCCCTGGTCTGGGAAGATCCCACATGCCGCGGAGCACCTAAGCCCATGCGCTACAATTACTGAGCCTGCGCTCTAGAGCCTGCGAGCCACAACTACTGAGCCCATGCACCACAACTACTGAAGCCCGCAAGCCTAGGGCCCATGCTCTGCAACAAGAGAAGCCACCGCAGTGAGAAGCCTGCATACCGCAATGAAGAGTAGCCCCGGCTCGCCACAACTAGAGGAAGCCTGCACACAGCAACGAAGACCCAACACAGCCAAAAATAAATAAATTTATTAAAAAAAGAAAAGAAAAGAAAAGAAAACAATGAATAGGGTAGAAAGAATCCTCCCCATTTGGAAAATCTGGAGCCTGGGAGAGGGTCTCATTTGGGATTGCTGCTAGAAATCTTCCTACCCTAGGCAGCATGATAAATTTTATCACAAAGTAGTATATCCTATAGGCTGTATCTATAAAAAACTGAATTTCTATAAACATAGGAAGATATTTAAGTCTTATAATCTGGTAGCATTTTTATAAAGTGCTAATAGTCAGATTAATTGTAATATGAAAACTGTCCCTGAATTCATCACCATCATCTTTGTGCAACATCCTCAGATACAGATTCTTACTGGTGTTTCCATCAGGTAATCTGCCTGTGTGAAGAAATTGGTTGCTTCAAGTGATGGTTCAATTTTGGCACTTTGTGGTGGATGCTCTACAGCTAGATATTATATCTAGACTATATTTAAATAAAGCATTTTCCTCTTTGAGAAAACAGGATTCTCATACCTTCCCATCTTGAGTGGATAGCAAGAGTAATATAATTTATTTCAGAAAAATACTGTGGTACATGTAGAAGTATTAGGCACAATTTAACCGATTTTAAATTACATTTTAGGTCCCACTTAAAGAGATGTGGCTTGTTCTTTCTTAACAGAGCTCCTGGACTGCCCTGCATTTGGAAGTAGCTTGCAATCCTTACACACACGTTACCTGATTGTTTTAACAGCTTCTTCATCTCTTTCCACATCAAGATCAGATGGATCCAGGAAGAACATTTTATCTTCCGGGGGAGATGGTTCCTCTGTGTCATCCAAGCCCCGACTACCATCACTGTTCATGTCACTACTGTCAATATCCATTGGTATATCTGTATCTGTTCCCAGAGTAGAAGGTTCTGGCAAAGTTTTAAATGAATTCAGAATTTTATATTAATGGACTATCAATACACCTAAACAGAGACAGTGTATTAAATGTGAAAAAAAGTTTTAAAATTCTTAAATGAAAATATAGAAAAATATTTTTATGATTCAGGATAAAGAAATATTTCTTAGGACAATATAAAATGTACAAACCATGAGGCAGAAAGTTAATTTGATTGCATTATAATTTAAAATTTTGACATGCCAAAAGATACTAGAAGCAAAGTAAAAGATTAGCTAACACTATTACACATCTAGTCAATTGATTTTCTGCAAGGGTCTAAGACAATACAATGAAGAAAGAATAAATAGTCTGTTCAATATATGGTGCTAGGACAACTGGACATCTACATGCAAAAAAAATGAAATTGGAATTCTTCCTTAAACCAATTACAAAAATTAACTTAAAGTGGATCACAGACCTAAATGTAAGAGCTTAATCTATAAAACTCTTAGAAGAAAACATAGGAGTAAACTTTGTGACCTTGAGTTAGGCAAAGCCTTCTTAGATATACCATCAAAAACCTAAGTGACAAAGGAAAAAATAAATAAATTGGACTTCATCAAAATTAAAAACTTCTCTGCTGCAAATGATACCTCAAGAAAGTGAAAAGACAGCACACAGTGTGGGAGAAAGCATTTTCAAATCATATATCAAATAAGGGACTTGTATCCAGAGTACTTAAAGAACTCTTACAACTCAATAATAAAAAGATAAGTAACCTGGTTAAATGAGCAAAGGACGAGAATAGATATTTCTCCAAAGCAGATGTAAAAATGACCAATAAGTATATAAAAAGTTATGCAATATCTGGGAAATGCAAATCAAAACAACAATGAGACATCACTCCATACTCACTAGGATGGCAATAATCAAAATGACAGACAATAACAAGTGGTGGCAAGGATACATAGAAATTAGAATCCTCATACACTGCTGGTAGGAATGTAAAATGGTACAGCTGCTTTGGAAAACAGTTTGGCAGTCTTCAAAATGTTATACACAGGGTTACCATATGACTCAACAATTCCACTACTGGCTATCTACCCAAGTGAAAGGAAAACATACATACTCATCAGTACTCAAATGTTCATAGAAGCATTGTTCATAATAGCTCCAAAGGAGATACAACTCAAAGGACCATCGACTGACTGGTGAATGGATATATAAAGTGTAGTCTATTCATGCAGAGGAATATTATTCATCAATAAAAAAAGAATGAAGTATTGATACATGTTACATGGATGAACCTTGAAAACATTATGCTAAATGAAAGAAACCAGTCACAAAAGACTACACATTGTATGATTCTATTTATATGAAATGTCTAGAATAGACAAACCCATAGAGATAAAAGCTGATTTAGTGGTTGCCAGGGCTAATGGGGAAGAGTGGATGGGAAGTGACTACTAATAGGTATGGAGTTCTTTTCAGGATGATGAAAATGTTCTAAAATTAGACTGTAGTGATGGCTGCATAACTGTGAATAAACTAAATGTGTGAACTGTAAGGTATACAAATCATATCTCAATAAAGCTGACAAAGAATTAGTAGAATATATAGCATATGAACAGGTAATTTATAGGGGAAAACCCCATAATTAACCAGTAAACATCTGAAAGATGCTCAAACTCGTTAATATAAAGACAAACGCACATTAAAATAAATAAAGTAGTATTTCATATCCATTTGTCAAAAGGTAGAGAAGTACAAAAATACATGAACTAGATAAATCTAGAAAAGACCTTAATCATTGAAAAACTGCATCAATTCCGAGCAACTGAAATGAGAAAACCAATCATGCTCTGTCAATGGTGTTAAGTAGCAACCACAGAAAACATGCCATAAAAGAAAATGTTAAATTCTTAAGGAGTTTAATTTCCACTCCTTATGCTTTTCCTCCTACAGAACTACTTACATTCAATTTTTACTAGTCATGTAAATGTTACGGAAAAATTATGCTGCAAGTTTAGAGTCATTACTCCTTCCTTCCAAAAACGGTAATCACTTTGAGTGATATAATCTTGAAAAGAGAAAACAAACAAACGAAACAAAAACAAAAAAACGGTAAAAAGCAAAAATGTTTCGCTAATAATTATTTGATGGAGAAAGAGAAAGTGAGACAGTACATTAAGTTCTAAAAGACTATGGACTAAGAAACCAGACCATATGAGTTCAAATCCCAACTCTACCACTTATTGGTTGTATTTTTGGGGCAAGTTATTTAATTTAATGTTTTTGTGTCTAAGTTTACTCATCTGTAAGTCCTTATCTCAAAAGGTTGTTCTTAGGTTTAAATGTCAATATATGTAAAGAGTTTAGAACAGTGCCTGGCATACAGTAAGCAGTCAATAAATACTAGAAATATGAAATAGTTCTAAGACCAACAGCAGGGTTATAAAATAAGTATTAAAGATAAAAGAGGATATGCAGCACCACTGGCCACATTAGACTACAGAGTGGTAGGTGGTTAAAGGAAAGACGGAAAGGTATAATTAAAAGTATACTGTTACTGATCTCTGTATTTTGCTTGATTATTAAATCAGAAAAAAGTTAAAAAACAAAGTAAGCAAAATAAAATATACAAATATAACCTTATACAAAGATAATACACAAAAGAATTGTGATCTTTTCTGGAAATTAAGAAAAGGACTTTTACCTCCATTGAAAGTAACTTCTCCAAGGCAGTCTCTTGGTACTTTTGATGCACATCGTTTATGGCAGTTGAATTTACAATCTAATAAAATATTCACCTTATTAATTTATATAAAAATGTCAGGCAGTATCAGAATATGGTTAAAGACTTTCTTTACTTACACACAGAGTATTATTAATAATGATGATGAAATAATAAAGATTTCCTCTACTAAGAACACAGGCTTTGGATTAAAGGTCTGGTTTCAAATTCTGACACCACCTCTTAAACAGTTGTTTAATCCCTCAGGGCTCAGTTTCTATATCTGTAAAATGAAGTTTATACTACTTGTATAACACTGACAAAATGTTGCTGCAGCTCCATGTTTCCTTCCCTTACCTCACATTCTTCTATCCACATACCCCTTAAGAGTTTCTCAGGCTGATTAAATTCCTTTCCAACATAGGTCAGGCACTTACTTTCAATTCCTAATTATTAGGACCTGGTGCATATGCAGAAAAGGGATTGCAATTCTACAACCATTTATTAGGAATTAGTAAGGGCTTTCCCATACAACCCTGTAAGGAAGGCCTGAGCTTCTCATGCACAAGGTCTCTCACCTGCATTACAAAATGGCTCTGTTCAGCCTGCAAGAACCTCAGAGCTGATTGCACTGCAGATCAGTGTCAGATCCCAACTGTACCATACTACTGTGTAACTCAGTGGTCCCCAACTGTGGCCATCGGACCAGCAGTAGCAGCATCATTTGAGAACTTGTTAGAAACGCATGTTCTTGGGCCCTACCCCTATCATCTGTAACTCTGGGAGTGGGGCTGAGAAATGTGTGCTTTAATGACTTCTTTAGTTAATACTAAAATTGAGACCCACTGCTATAACTACTGTCTAACACAACCTTCAAAATACTTCTACCAACAATAAATGGGTAAAAATAATTTCAAGTCCTGCTTTAGAATAATTCTGTAACCCCTGTGATTCAAGAAAATTCTGGGAATCATGCCAATAGCACAGGGTAAAGGTCATTACAAGAAAAAGCCCCATGAAATTAATATTTTGGTGGAGGATAAAACTTGCATTATATAGTAATGTCTTTAAAAATAAGAGACCCTAAGAAATTCATATATGATATTAATATTAATATCTTGCATACATCTTAAATAATTAGTTTTTTATCTCATGAGGTTTGCAAATTCTGAAAATAACAAGGTTTCCCTTTCCCTTTGAAATGTAGAGCCAAATTTGTGGCCCACCTGCAGCCAAGTATGTAGGTTCTAATGACAGGCATTTATACTTCTCTATATTCCTACCCATGTTTTTATTAATTAGTTTATGCTTTCTTTTATTCTATATATGCTTATATAAGATGCCTTGAAATTTTAACATAACAAAGTAGAAAATAAACAGATGAATGAATAAATGAACTGCTGTTCTTAGAATTGTATGTTTTCTTAAACGTTCCAGCATAACTGTTTTATCTTAACTATTTTTTTTCTTAGCTTGACAAGTGAATGAAAATGACTATTTTACTTTTTAAGTATCTTAATTCATATTACAAAAATACAAGGATCCCTAAATTAAATTATGATTTTTTTCATAGATAACTAAAATATTTAAAGAGAAATATAACCTGATACTTTCTGAACCAATATAAGCATAAAACATTATTCTTTTAGAGCTCTAAGAAGTTAAACTAATAACCCAGTGGTAGAGTTCACTGATTTTATTTCAAAATTCATTAATCTACATATTTATTTTAGTTCCTTTATAAAATACTGTCTTTTTTTTGCATGTGGTTTTAGAATGTTTCTGTTCTGCTCAGCAGAACGGTGTTATTTACTACCTTTACTAAAATTATCTGCTGGCTAGAATTTATACATCTGTTCTTAATGTTCTTTCCCAAAACATTCCTTAGTGGCTGCTTGCCAATACACTTTAGTGTTGATATTTTAAAGTATTAATTTATATATTAACTCATATTCAAAAGTAAGCTGCTGAAATAAAATTTCAATATTTAATTAAGCCTGCCTGATGGTTATTAAATATTGGCAACAAATGTACAACCTATTCTCTATTTGATATTATCCTATGTAGCCATATATTGCCAAGAAAAGTTTTCTTATATATTTAAGTTAAATTTACATATAATTATTTGATTCAACATTGTAAACAGGATTTATTGTTGCAAAGATCTCAACTCTAATGTTTTACCTAGATAAAACTAGGTAATTCAATTCCACAAATAGTTCTATATAGAAAGTATAGTATCAAGAACTATTAAAATAATCACATGAAAAATAAGTACATAAGATTATAGACAGATTAGTTATATCTTATCCTGGCTCAATGCCTTAAAACATATTTAAACTCTATTTTGGTTTCACAAAATTGTGTAGCACTGTTGAGAAGAAGATATGGGACAAAAAGATAAAAGCATCTTTAAAAAGCATTAAAACATTATGTAACTAGAGGAAAAAATTATTCCATTGTTCTATTAAAAACCTAGTTCATTAAGAGATGTTTCTGGAATACTATGATAGTGTTCTGGGTTAGTATCCAAATACAGGTGGTCCCCATTACAATTCCACTGGCTTCTACTATAGTCTGCCTATTTCAGTGTGATTACTGTCTGGAATGACAATTTTTGTATAGCTCCATAGCTACGTAATTAGAAAAAACAAAACAAAACAAAACACCTGTAATATGTTGGTGTGTGTGTGTGTGTGTGTGTGTATGAATATTTAATGGCCAGAGGAGGGCATTATTTTATATTTTGGGTAGTGTCTGGCTCTGAAATTAGAAAGACTTAAGGTCAAATATTAGCCTATCTGCTTACTAACTGTTCCATATTGGCAAGTGTTAAGCAGCCAGACCTCATATCCAAATTCTAGTTTTTCTGTTTATACTCTAATTTTTCTTTAGCACAGCTCCTGGTACAGAATACACATATTGCAGATACTAGTCGTCGCATGCATATTAATTTTATCTTTTTTAAGTTAACTATGAACCCAATTTACAGGTATTTGCTTAATGCTTCTGAAATAAAAAATATTTTAAACCTGTATTTGCTAACAAAAACAAATATAAATTTTACTTAAGAAAAACATCCAATCCTACCTTTACACTGCATTCCTTGGCGAAAGAGACCTTTGAGTAACCGCTTGCAGTACTGACATATTGTGGGACGGGTATAAGAGTGAACAGCAAATGTGTGTGGAACTTTTACCCTGCACATGACCATCTTTTCCATCCAAATCGGGCGACCACTCCAAGAAGGAATTCTCTTACTGGGTTCCTGGTGAACATGTGACTAAAATATAAGTAATTTCTATAAGTGTAAGTCGATATTCAAAACAAAGTATTAATATTAAGATCAGGGCTTGACCACAAAAGTCATTTATTTCAAACACTAAAGCCAAAAACCTAAAAATGTGCATCTCAGCAGTTTCCTTTGGAAGCTTAGCTTACCAACCCTTGAATGAGAAAAGTGCAGAATTTTTTTGCTATTATTTATGCTAGAAAACAAAAAGATATTTTCATCCTCACATACATATATTCACTGATTAACTATTATTTCCAGGCACATATGACATTTTACAAATAAAAAACAGAACTTAAAATGAATTTATAACATGTTCAAATACCTTCAAAAACCTTACCAAGAAATTAGTCACAGGAAAATTAAGTAAATTCAGAAAATGTTAGTGCTGCTCACGCTGAGTTACTGAATACAATGTCTGAAAACATTCTGAAACAAGCCTTAATTTTTCTAATTTATTTTAACAAATACTAAAAGAAGCATGTGAAAATCTAAGTTTAATTAATGTTGATGATACAAACAACGGCAGATACAAACTAAAACAACTTTACCCTTAGTAATTATGCTTTAGGAAGTTCCTTAATATTTTAAGTATTTTCCAATTATTTGGGTTTTTTCTCTTAGGTGAGCAAAAAGGAAAGTTAAAGGTGGTGTTGGTTAAAATTTTTTGTGTAATCTGAGGGATAAATGGATTATTTAACTATGAACCTTTCTATGTATACAAAGGAAATAATTTAAATTATAGGTCAGATGAATATGGTTCATCATATTAATTCAGCATTCACTGATTATAACTGGCCAGGCTCTATATCAGAAATATGAAAATGAATACAGTCTATATTCTCAAGAACAAAATCCAAATACCTAACTACCACCTAGATGTATTACAGATTTTGTTATAGCTGCTTGCATCTTCACTGTCAGAACTTCCTTCTATAACTGGTAATGTCTGTAACTCAGAGAAGCTGAGTCATGGTACATTGATATGTTCAACTACTAGAAGCAAAAGAAGCCAGAAAAAACCAAGAGATAGAGAAATATACAGGAGAAATGAGGGGAGGAGAAAATAAAAGGCTTTTTTGAAAAAATTAGGAAGAAGGAAAAAGAAAAGGACTGACCATTGGAGGACAGCACTATAAAAATAACACAGATACAGCCTCTGATGGATAGTTTTTCACTGAAGTGTAGCCAGAAATGTTCTAAAGAAAATTATGAAGCAGTTTAAGAAAAGTACAAAAAGATGGGACTTCCCTGGTGGCACAGTGGTTAAGAATCTGCCTGCCAATGCAGGGGACACGGGTTCGAGTTGGTCTGGGAAGATCCCACATGCCGCGGAGCAACTAAGCCCATGCGCCACAACTACTGAGCCTGCGCTCTAGAGCCTGCAAGCCACAACTACTGAAGCCCGCGTGCCACAACTACTGAGCCTGCGCTCTAGAGCCCACGAGCCACAACTACTGAAGTCTGTGCACCTAGAGCCCATGCTCCGCAACAAGAGAAGCCACCACAATGAGAAGCCTGAGCCCCGCAATGAAGAGTAGCCCCTGCTCGCCGCAACTAGAGAAAGGCCGCGCACAGCAATGAAGACCCAACACAGCCAAAAATAAATAAATTAATTTTTTTTAAAAAGGAAAGTACAAAAAGAATGTTAAAACACGAACCAAACTTACATATTTCAGCTGTCTAAGGTGTCCTGCTCTAGTGTGGCCCACCCCTCCTCCATTTACACACCACCTTCAGCAAAAGGAGCACCACAGTGATTCTGCAGAGCTGATAAAGCAGCCAGTGGGAACTAGAAACAGATACTTTAAGCTTTTGCTCATCCCCGGCCCCCTAGTCTAGTGGTGACTCAACACTGTGCTTCTCTTGCTTCTGCTTCTACCACTCAGTTTGTCTCAAGTTTAAAACATATAACATGGAAAGGCTGATTTAGCCAGTTTTGCCTTTTGTCAGGTCCTGCTGGGATTGGGGTATCAGGGACATGGTACAGAGCATGTTTATAAGGAACTACTCAGGGGACTGTGGTTGTAGGAGCCACCCAATTTTTCATGTCTAGTACAAGTAGTTATTTATGTTATTAGCCCTATTTTACATATGAAAAAACAGGCTCAAAGGGATTAATACTACTAAAGCATTAGTATTAAAATCAAAACTTAGACCTGGGTCTTCTACATAGCAGTCCAGTGATTCTTTTTTTTAATAAATTTATTTATTTTATTTATTTATTTTTGGCTGTGTTGGGTCTTCGTTGCTGCATGTGGGCTTTCTCTAGTTGCGGTGAGCAGGGGCTACTCTTTGTTGCAGTGCACAGGCTTCTCATTGCAGTGTCTTCTCTCGTTGTGGAGCACAGGCTCCAGGCGTGCGGGCTTCAGTAGTTGAGGCACGCGGGCTCAGTAGTTGTGGGTCACAGGCTGTAGAGCACAGGCTCAGTAGTTGTGGTGCACGGGCTTAGTTGCTCCGCGGCATGTGGGATCTTCCTGGACCAGGGATCGAACCCATGTCCCCTGCACTGGCAGGCGGATTCTCAACCACTGTGCCACCAGGGAAGCCCAGTCCAGTGATTCTTAACCTTTTCCCAATCCCAGCATACCTGGGCACATACTGCAATCTTACCAGTAACAGTGGTTTACCATCTATTTAGTGAGGAAGGCAGGAAAGGTACAGCGGACTTAACCAGAATTTGGAGGACAGAGAATGTTGGTAGAATTACCTAGAGCACTTGGTTAAAATGTAAGCACTCAGATGAGAGTAACTAGAATTAAATGAAAGTTCTTTTCTTACTTTGCTCTAATGTCTCTCTTTACAAATTACCGCTTAGCTTATTAAATTCTTATTTCTTTCTTATTAATATATAGCCAGAAATCTTCTAAAAGTAATTATTTCCACAGTGTGGGCTTAAACTAATTGTGGCTGAAGTATTGCTCACAAAAACTTCATAACAATATTGCCAGCTCTCAATCATTTAAACAATAAAGGCAATAAAAGCATTTAAAGGGGGCAATTCCCCAATTATAAATATTTGAGTTTAGAACATTATTCAATGAAAGAAATATCTCTACTTTTATGTGTACATCTAGGCCCAAGAGTTTCTTTCTACTTTGATTCTGTCCTATCCCCGCAGGAATTTTCCCAAATGGGTAATTCCCTGGTGTCCAGTGGTTAGGACTCTGCGCTTTCACTGCTGAGGGCATGGGTTTGATCCCTGGTCGACAACTAAGATCCCACAAGCTGTGCAGCACGGCCAAAAAAAAAAACTTCCCAAATGCACTGCAATGAACATTAATCTCTCTCATCTCCAAATAGTCATCACTCAATTCTGGTTTCTCTAATCTCAGTGGTTCCATTTTTACCAAATTCAATGAACAGTCTATCTTCTTTTGCCTCTCCATCTCTTTACTTGATTCCCTTTAGACTGGCTTCAGAAACTAACAGAAGCTGCCTTCTTACGTGTAAACGATGACAACCCCAGAGTCAGATTCAAAGGCTTCTATTCCAACTGGCCTTTTCTTATCTAGTAGTCAATGAAGTTTAATATCTTGACTCCTTAGAAACTTTTCATCATGCCTTATGTATGAAATCAGGATAACAGCTATACCTTCCAGGACGGGGTTGAGGATTACACAGAAAAGCTAAGTGAAGCAGCCAGCATGAAGACTGGCACCTGAGAAGTTATGAGGCTCTTACTGTGTAGCCACTTAGAGTTAGTTCTTCTCTAAACTTGGTTCAGATTCAGGTTCAGACTGCTCCCATCTCCACACTGCTATCTCCTTCATTCCTTTAGAGTATACTCTTTTATTACTCTTTCTTCCCTCTGATTTTCCTCCATGAGCTCTCAGCTCTTCTCTTACTGTACCTTATTCACAATTTTGAGATTGCAAGCTTGGACTGACAAATATAACCCTGAGATTCCTCTTTACAATTTCTACTTGTTCTAAAATACTCTGCACAATCTAACCAATTCAAACATGTCACTCTACTTCTCATATTTCCCTAAGGAAGTTTCACCTTTGGGATAAAATATAAATGAATGAATAATACATTATTCATCTGCTCTGTCCTGCCATTTCCTAATCTTGCAATACTCAGTGGGTATGGCTGACACACCAGTATCATTTGTGGGGTTCTCAAAACAACATGTGTTCATCCTACAGTTCCCAATCTTAGCTAAGTTTCCTGTGCAGTTTGTATATAAAATGTATTAACTTTTCTATTACCAATCTTTCCCCAAGCTTTTGTATGTGTTTATAATAACTCTTTGCTCTCAGTTCCTAATGCTACAGCATTCTTCTTCTACTTTAAAAATCTCATAGGAGGGCTACGCAATATGGAAATATGGGATTGCTGTGAAAGAATTTCAGAAGCTTTTACTCCAGTGCCTCGGTTTAGCAAAATCTTGTGACGAGGGTGTCAAGACAACAGCCCAAAGACTTGATTTTGCCATTAATATACAGAAGACCAAAGGGGTTACAGAAATAATTAAATGTTAAGATTGTAATGTATAGATGGAAGTCATTTTAAGTAGTACCAAATGAATAGGTGGTTATTTCTTTCTTCCCTGATCTACTACATTTACCCTTGAGGGGTACAAGATATGAGGAAAAGTCATTGATTTACAAATAATCAGATCTGGGTTGAATTCTAATATTGCTTACTAATTTGCTCTGTGACTTCAGTCAAGTCACTTGACTGTTCTGAGTCCCAGTGGTCTCATGGTATAGAGATCTACTAATATACCTCACTGGAATATTAGGGATCAGTGATCAGTGGTGTCACTCAGACACTCATTCATTTATGAGTGAGTACCCACTAAAGTACAAGGTATGGTGCTGGGCATGATGGGGCAAAGTCGTGAATACTGTCCTCTCTAAATAGATCATAAACTCCAAACACTATGATATTAAGGTAGAATGCTATACACACCATTAGGGAGATTTGAAAAGTGCTATGTGATTCAGAAAAGTAACTTCTAGGTAAAGGGGAATCAGGTAAGGTAGCTGCTGAGCTAGGTCTGGAAAAAAGCATGTAGGATAGATACCAAGAAGAGCACATGTAAGGGGGAAAGGGTGTGTTAAGGGAATGATGAATATCACAGACTGTCAGAAACACAGAATATATAAAGGAGTCCTAGTGGGGAGTAATCTAATCAGTTGTTGTACATTAAGCTGTAGTGAAGTGTGGAGACCAGGAGTCGGGATACTGGTTAGGAGGTTGATCTTATGGTCCAAGTGATAAGGTTATCACAAAGTATACAAAATGCAATTCATGACTATTGGTAAGCCCTGTCTACAGTAATACATTTTAAGTTTCTTAAGTGTAGGAATGTTACTATTTTTCAGTATATAACTTATGTTTTAAGATGATGTTATATATCCTGCAGAAACATAAGGAGTAAGTAGTAAAATGCCCTCTATTACCTTAGAATACATACCTCTTCAGTGGGAAGGGCTACATATTCAGTCTGCAGGGGTCTTGGAACTGAGAGGCCGGGTCCTGGCAGGGATACATTTGACAGACGTCTCTTTCTTACACCACTACAGTTATTTGGAATCTTGAAGGCACATCGTTTATGGTAATTTAATCCACAGCCTAAATATATTTTAAAAGGTTAAAAAAATTTTTTTAACTTTACTATATAAGTGTGTACATAAAAAAATAGGTGCTTCCTTTATTTATTTTCTCTGGCAGCAATAGTTATCCTAATGAAGAACCCAGATGACAAGCTAAGAAGAATAGGAAACGTGTAGAAAGGTTATTTAGAAAGGTTAAGTTGGCTAAAGCAGTGGTTTCTTCAAGTGTGCTCCTCAAGGCAGCACCTGAGAATTTGTTAGAAATCTAAATTACTGGGCTCCACCAGTAATTCAGACCTACTGAATCAAAAACTTTGGGGATGGGGCCTAGCAAAGTATGTTTCAACAAGTCCTCAAGGTGATTCTGATACACGATAAAGTTTGAGAACCTATGGCTTAAAGAACTTCAGCAAACTGTAGACTGTGTACCAAATTACTCCTATGACATGTGAAAATTATGTTAAATTCAAATTCCAGTGTTCATAAATAATTTTATTGGAACACAGCATACTCATTTGTTTACAACCGGTCTATGGCTATTTTCATGCTATCAATACAACAGCAAAGTTAAGTCATTGTAAAGAGACCACATGGCCAGCAAAATTTAAAATATGTACTCTCTGGCCCTTTACAGGAAAAATTTATTGACTAATCAGAAATGTACCCCGCATCCCACCCCCTGGTAATTCTAATACAATATAACCATACCTCCCCAATTCTAAACCTTGGGTACTACCTAGTCACTACCAATGATCTTGTTTTTTCATTGATGATTACTGAATGCAAATGTGAAATCCTATTTCAAATGAAACAAAAATTTAGAACACATACCTTCACATTTCAGTCCCTGACGTACCAATCCCCAGAGCATCTCACCACAGTAATCACAAAAAGTAGGAGCTTTGTAAGAATGTACATAGAGAGTATGTGGACGAATCTGAAAGTCTTCTACTGTGGCCAAAGCTTTTAAAAAAGAAAAATATTCAAATAAACCCTGTACTTGTAATTGTGATTAGATTAAGAACATTGACCATATTCATTTGTCAAAGTACACAGAATCTTTTTTTTCTGAAAGTTTCATCTGACCATAAAAATAAATTATTTTCAGCAGCTAATATTGTGGTTTTCAAACTCTATTTTAGGAACTTCACCAACTTCAAATAATTTGAGCTCCAAAAGCAGGTCTATAGGTAGGTATTGTGACCTCCAAAAGCATTTTCTCGGAGTGATAACATTGCAAATAATTGTCAAGATTTATTTTAGCTAGTTAAAAACTATTTAACTTATAATATACTGGGAAATAGAACACTAAAGTTAAAAAAAAAAACTGTGGAACTTAACATTAAGTTATAGCAATGTTTCTGTGGGAAACACACTCAGTTCTAATTTAGGATCCCAGGATACACTCTGTCTGTTCTCCAGAGTCCTAGTGGTTAGGATAAAGAGACTCTTCTCCCCTTTGTGGGCAAGTCAACAGCAGCAGACATCCTCTCAACACCACCTGCAAGTCATTAGTGGATATCCCCCGTGGCCTGATGTAGGGTCCAGGGCAAGAGAGGAATAGATGTGAGCATGATCTCCAGGGAGGACCGGGAGTGAAGCCCCTCTGGAGTGAAAAGAAAGACAAGGATTGCGATATGTATAGAATTTGGGGTTGTGGCAGAAAAGATGAATGGGAATGATAAGAGACTAATAAGGAAAGGTGATGGTCAGAGAGGATCTCAAGAACAGGCTGCAAATATGAATGTGGGAAGAGGAAAAAAAAATGGTGGCAGGACTCTGGACTCCTGACCAGCTTTTCTTCCTTTCTTTCTCTTCCATTTCTTTCCTTTCCTCCCTCCCCTTCTCCTCTCTTCCTCCCTCCTTCCTTTGCTGCCAAACAAGAAGTTTTGCAGGCCTACTATATACATTCTTTGTTCCTTTACACTTCTCACTAACAATCCTGCCCACTTGTTGGATGAGATAATAGCAGGAGCTAAAGAACAATGGATGGCAAGAATAGGTGAGAGAGGAAAGGAGAGAATAAGAAAATGTCCACAGAGAACAAAAAGAGAAGGAGCATTATTTAAGTCATGGAATCAACCAGTATTGCAGTTTCCTCTTCCAAATCTTCATTATTTCTCCTTTTTTTCTCATTTTCTTTTCTGAGCCCTAATTCTCTTCTATGCTCTTCACAGAAACGGGGAAAGGGACCAGAATTTCAGTGTAATTGTTTTACTTCTTTGACTCAAAAGATGAACATATTCCTCTTCTCGTTCAATTGATAATTCCCTTAGCTTAGTAACACTCAAATAAGTAATTCAGGCTTATTTTCCTACTTTCTCATCTGTGATATAACCTTCCTGAAAGTAAAAATCACATAGTAACCATTATTATAGATGAAAGAAGTAAGCAACTGTAGTACAAAGTGTAATTGAACACAGCATTTAGTTAAATGCAAAAAATAAGGCTCGTTGAAAAGAAAGGCAACAAAATAAACTATTTACTTACCTGAAAGAACAACTTCTACTAGGTCTCCTTCATGTATTTCATCTGCTGAGGTAATCAGCTGCAAAATATTTTCTGAGTTCATGTCATGGCGAAAGAGAAGAATTTTGTCATACATGCCAAAGAATCCACACTCTGGAAACTGCAGGAAAATAGTCCTATATCAGTATACCTACAGCTTTCTATTTTTATAAGTAAATGTCTCAACCTTATAAAATAATTTTAAATGTACTTTTTAGCCTAACACTATTTGCTAACAATTCTATTAATATCCAAAAAGATCAACCATGTGCTCAAGCATCCTGGTTAATTCTCAAGTTCAAAAATATAAAAGTAAGCAATATAAATAATCGTTGATTATCTTAAAACATGTGTTTCTTAGAAGTACAGAATTTCTTTATTCAGTTACTGATGGAGAATACAATCTTGAACTTAGGGCTTCTCTTACAAAGCCTGAAAGATAAGCAGTCTTTCCTGTCCTCTAGAACTGAGCTTCCCATACGGTTAGCTACCAGCCACATGCAGTTATTTAAATTTAATTAAAGTTAAATAAAATTAAAAGTTTAGTTCCTCAGTCACTCTAGCCACATTTCATGTGCTCAATCACCACCTCAGCTACTGGCTACCATTTTGGACAGTGGAGATATAGAACACTTCCATCATCACAGTAAATTCTATTGAATAGTGCTGGTAGAAGATCAATAATTCCCAAACTACAGTCACAGGAGTACCAATTCCTACATTTCTGCCAAATGGACCTATAGTTCCTAGCATTTATCTAATATTTTCTTTAATATACTCACTGTAATTACAAATACATGATTCTTTATGGTAGCTTTCTTCTCAAAAAATCTTTGCCCAGAGCAGGACTTACAGATCTGTTGACATATGCCCTTTGTGTAAATATTTCAAGGCTTCTACATTTTGTGACTACATTACTGAGACACTTTGGGGATTAGTATACCAAGGACTAAAATATGAAGGTGTGAGTCTAAAATGTTTTATAGTTACTGAAGTTGTTTAAGAGACAACTTGAAGTACTTGCCTTACAAAATAACTTTAATTTTTAAAACAATTTTTAAAAAGACCATTTTCTAAACTATCAGTACCTTGCAAAATGCCGCTCCAGACAGTTCTAATTTCTTTAGTTGATTTCAAAACTGTATACTCTCACTGATTTATTTTGACTCCTCACAGAATATCCTTTAACGAACTATACAGTATGTCACTGTCCTGCACTGAATGGCCTGATATACATCTGTCACACTAAACTGTAAACGCATCTTTGCAGGGATGTTGCTGAGGATGGTTCACCTACTTCATATAGTAGCCCTTCTTTGTGAGGGCCCATAAAAGAAATTTCTCTGGTTGGTTTTATAATATGAACAATTTGATCATGTAACTAATCACGTTTTCTTGTTTACTTTGCCCACTGCAAAACGCCAAGCCTAATTTGTAGCCTAATTCTAACATCAGTCTAGTATCTTATGGCATATGTTTTAGGTGCAGATACCAACCTAGCTTCACCTTATTTTGTGACCTTAATTTTCCCATTAAAAATTCTTACATGTACCTCTAAAAAAGTCTCAATTTTTTGGGAAAAAGTTGAATTTTTAAGAATTGAAAATAATGACTTAATTAGAAATTTTAAAGTTTATTTGCATTTTAAAAAACCTACTGAGTAAATAATGAAAAAGTGCAGAAATATTTAGAATTTTTATAATGCTCATTCTCTTTTCAAATATTTGAGTTACCAATATTTATAAAACCTCATAATATGCTTTAAACATATCTCTAACAGCTTAAAAATTTTCCATTGAAAAGAGTAAAAATATAGAATCAAAAATTATTTTCATTAAATTTTAATTTAAAATTGAAATGTTTGGGCTTCCCTGGTGGCGCAGTGGTTGAGAGTCCGCCTGCCAATGCAGGGGACACAGGTTCGTGCCCCGGTCTGGGAAGATCCCACATGCCGCGGAGCGGCTAGTCCCGTGAGCCATGGCTGCTGAGCCTGTGCGTCCGGAGCCTGTGCTCCGCAATGGGAGAGGCCACAACAGTGAGAGGCCCACGTACCGCAAAAAAAAAAAAAAAATTGAAATGTTATTAAGTTTGACTTAGTTATTATTAAATTAGAAAACATCTAATGGGGAGTAAAACATCCCCATAACTTAGCTGCAATAATTCTTAAGGATTAATAAAAAGGATTTCACATTCCATCCTTATAAAATCTCTAACAAAATATTTGTATGAATAAAACTCATTTAAAAAATTCACTTTTTAAAAAATTCATGTCCTCTAACTGTAAGGCCCTATGGTTTGTAAAGGTAAGACAGTCAGTCTTTGCCTTCCAGGGGCTTACAATCTAGTAAAAAGAGAAATAAAACAAATATATAACATAATAAGAGAAATGCCAAGAATGAAAAATAAAATTCTAGAAGAGGGAACAAAAACTTTAACTGGGAATGTAGACAATCACTTCAACAGTGATATTTGAGCAGAATCATAAAAAGAGAAGCAAGGTTTCCATGGGTAGAAAGTGAAAGTGAAAGGGTCATCATTGAGAAACTACAAGGTAAATGAGAGAACGTAAGTCAGTGGACCCCTACGACTGGAGAATGAAGGGGGTGGGTAGAAAGAAGGCAAAAAAGTACACAGGAGCCCAACAGGGACCATACAAACAGAGAAGTCTGGAATCAACAGAGCTGGGTCCAAGCTTTGCAACCTACCAACTACAGCATCTTACATAAGCTGCTTAACCTCTCAACGATCAACAGGAATATTAACTTTAAATGGTTCTTATCAAAATTAAATTACTTGATGTTTATAAAAAACTCAGCACTATGATCAAGAAACACTAGTGGTTTATATTATTCTATATCCAAAGGGGGAGAGACAAGGGGTTCCAGAGCAAGGCAGCAACATGATCAAATCTGTATTTTAAAGGGTTAATGCTGACAGCACTGTGTAGCAGGAACTGGAACAAGAGACAGAGCAAGCTCCTAAATAGAAGGCAGAAGTTATCGATCAGAAAAGAGGTATCAGGGTCTGTCTGAATTTTACTGTAAGAAGATGGAAAGCAAGACAACAAGGAACACTTCCCTCTAGAAACTACCTCTGGTAAATTATATGGATCACTTATACTGTTTTGACCAAAACTAAAAGTCCCCATAACTAAATAACTAAATAAACACATCAATGAGAGAGGAAAAATATTAAAATAAAAAATTTATGTCTTAGAAAAAATATATATAAAATAATCTTGATAAACACATGACCCAATGAAGTCATATTAGCATTATTAAGAGACTAAAGAGCAAACAAAAAGAATTATAGGGAGTATTAAGAATATTTATTTAAAATAAGCATTTGTGTACCAAGCTGGGAAGTCTTCAGTGATGATAAGGAATAAAGTAACTTTCTAGCAAATGTTTACACACTATATTTATCTATATAATTGAGAAATTACAGAATTCCAAGAGGGAGGAAATGTAATAACTAGCCTGTAAAAAAGAGATTTCTGCTATTCATAATAATGATCTACAGGTGTGTTTAGCAGGATATTTAGGAATTCTCTGAAAACAAAGGTCCCCACAAAATGAAGTAAAAGAAAATGTGGCCTGAAGAAAAGCTGGAGAGAATATTAAATATTGTCACTGAACATCAGGAAACACTGTGGCCAACCTTTAAAAATATTATGAATCTTGAGGCATGAGTATATTAAACATTTAAAAAGAAGAAAACAAGGAAATAAAACGTAAACACACATTATAAAAAACCTAAACAATTGTACTGAGGAAAAACCCCACAAAAAAACGAAAAATAAAACCCTGTTAATAATTATTTGAATATATAGGGATTGACTGTTCATGATTTTTAAAAATTCAGAAATTGGTTTTCAAGCAAGAAAACCATTTCCTAAGACAATGTCTCACCTTTGGTCACACACTGGAATCATCTATGGAGCTTAAAATCACATCTGGTATTTTCACCCCAAGCATCTTTACCATAGACCTCTTTGCAGCAAGCATTTTTGCCACATAATTAATTGGCCATAAGGCAATTTTGCCATCAAAGATAAAATAACTGATTGACAGTTTGGTTTCAAAGTTCATTAACATTTCTTTTATTTTTAACTCCTTTATTGGAGTATAATTGCTTTACAGTGGTGTGTTAGTTTCTGCTTTATAATGAAGTGAAGCAGTTATACATATATATATGTTCCCATATTTCTTCCCTCTTGCATCTCCCTCCCTCCCACCCTCCCTATCCCACCCCTCTAGGTGGTCACAAAGCACCAACCTGATCTCCCTGTACTATGCGGCTGCTTCCCACTAGCTATCTATTTTAAGTTTGGTAGTGTATATATGTCCATGCCACTCTCTCACTTTGTCACAGCTTACCCTTCCCTCCCCCATATCCTCAAGTCCATTCTCTAGTAGGTCTGTGTCTTTCTTCCCGTCTTGCCCCTAGTCTCTTCATGACCTTTTTTTTTTTCCTTAGATTCCATATATGTGTTAGCATATGGTATTTGTTTTTCTCTTTCTGACTTACTTCACTCTGTATGACAGACTAACATTTCTTCTAGTTAGCAACATTACTGATTGCTTTATTGAGCTGACGAATGAGGATGATTTGCCCCAAGAGTTGGTTTCTTATTTTAAAATACACTACACACTGGGGGCTTCCCTGGTGGCGCAGTGGTTGAGAGTCAGCCTGCCGATGCAGGGGACACGGGTTCGTGCCCCGGTCTGGGAAGATCCCACATGCCGCGGAGCGACTGTGCCCGTGAGCCATGGCCGCTGAGCCTGCGCATCCAGAGCCTGTGCTCCGCAACGGGAGAGGCCACAACAGTGAGAAGCCTGCGTACCGCAAAAAAAATAAAAATTAAAATAAAATAAAATACACTACACACTGGAGGAGAAACAGGCCGAGGGCCTTAAAGGTGCAGTGTTGATCCCACATTTCTCATACAATTTTGCAATGTCTACCAACAGACATGTGATAGAAACAACAATGTAGAAGGCTTTCACAACACAATACAAAGCTCAGTTACAAATATGGATCCTAGTATTTGGAAACTGATACCTCTCTTAATGAAGGAACAAATTTTAATGAAAAAGTGGAATGATGAACAAGAAGAGG